GTAGAGGCCACCACCTAAAATTGGTGGAAAACAAATCCCAGCACAAGGGGCAAAGGGGGTTCTTCACAGTAAGATCAGTTAGGGTCTGGAACTCACTGCCACAGGCGGTGATTTCAGCAAATAATGTGGAATTGTTCAAGAAACTTTTGGACGATTTCTTAAGGGACCGTAATATACAAGGGTACAGGTACTCCTAGAATGAGATCCTAATAGGTTGGACTTGATGGACTAATGTCTTTATTCAACCTCAAATACTATATAACTATGTAACTATGACTTAGTACCACTTTCAGACGTTGCCATAATACAGAACTTGATGTGAGCTTTGACTGTGCCAAGTTCCTTTCAATTTAAATCTCAGAGTGAACAGTCCCTTACTAATAGATTCTGCATCATCCCATTAAGTCAGTGGGAAATTATGCCAACCTGTCAACAAGCAACTTTTTTTTTTAAGACAATCTTTTTGCCTTATGTGGTCACTAGAGTGATATATTATAAAAGTGTCCTTATTTGATAAGTTGAAAATGTCCCATCACACTACAGACCAGATTCCCAACTTAATTTGTTATCAGTGGGTGCTGAAATGACCTGTGGATGGTTTTACCCATGAAAAGTCAGAATATGCAGAAATTAGTCACCAGTACACCAAAGTCCAATATATCCTTCTTGTCTTTCTTCGACGTTAGATAAACATGGCATCACAAATGAGTACAACATTTCGGAACCTTCTGTTGTCCCTTCATCAGGCACATCAGAGTGAGTCAGTCAGACCGCAGAAGGTTCAGAAACATTATACTCATTTGTGATGTCATGTTTGACTAATGTTGAATGAAGACGGAATGATGAATTGGACTTTGTACTGGTGACTAATTATATATACAGGTGAAACTCGAAAAAAATTAGAATATCGTGCAAAAGTAATTGCAGTAAGTGCTGCAAAAGGGGCCCAAACCAAGTACTGAGTACATATGCATGCTTGTACTTTTCAGAGGTCCGATATTGTTCTATGTACAATCCTTGTTTTATTGATTGCATGTAATAATCTACTTTTTTGAGGTTGTGGATTTGGGGTTCTTGGGGTTTTCATGAGCTGTAAGCCATAATCATCACAATTATGACAAATCACAGCTTGAATTATCTTGCTTTGCATGTAATGAGTCTATCTCATATATTAGTTTCACCTTTTAAGTTGCATTAGTGAAATAAATGAACTTTGCACGATATTCTAATTATTCGAGTTTCACCTGTAAGCATTTTTTAGTAAGTTTCCTACAGGTGAAACTCGAATAATTAAAATATCGTGCAAAAGTAATTGCAGTAAGTGCTGCAAAAGGGGCCCAAACCAAGTACTGAGTACATATGCATGCTTGTACTTTTCAGAGGTCCGATATTGTTCTATGTACAATCCTTGTTTTATTGATTGCATGTAATAATCTACTTTTTTGAGGTTGTGGATTTGGGGTTCTTGGGGTTTTCATGAGCTGTAAGCCATAATCATCACAATTATGACAAATCACGGCTTGAACTATCTTGCTTTGCATGAAATGAGTCTATCTCATATATTAGTTTCACCTTTTAAGTTGCATTAGTGAAATAAATGAACTTTGCACTATATTCTAATTATTCGAGTTTCACCTGTATGTTGAGGTGCAAGCTTGATTTTAAGCGACATTATTGAACAATGAAGGACAATACTGAAGTAATATGGAGTACAATAATTAAGTAATATGGGGTACATTGATGACACACTGTGCAGTACAATGTGGAATTATTCAGTTGTGTAGAAAAATATCTAGAGGTTTTCAAATACTGGACAATTGACAGAAGGACAGATATAACCATAACATTGCTATGGGACTAGCCAGTGGGTATACAAAATGATTTCAAATAACAAACATAATGGTTCATGGTGCTAAATCAATATGGTGATATAAATCTATACTTTAGATAGTCTGTAAGACTAATTAGGCTGTGCAGGATCTGTGGTGGGCTCTACAGGGTCCATGGTGGGCTCTGTGGGGTCTATGGTGGGCTCTGCATGATCTGTGGTGGGCTCTGCAGGGTCCAAGGGAGGCTTTGCAGGATCTGTGGTGAGCTCTGCAGGGTCTCAGAGGAGCTGTGCAGGATCTGTGGTGGTCTTTGCAGCCTACAGAGCAGGGGCTGTGCAGGATCTGTGGTGGGCTCTGCAGGGTCTCAGGTGGGCTATGCAGGATCTGTGGTTGGCTTTGCAGGGTCTTAGAGGTGCTGTGCAGGATCTGTGGTGGGCTCTGCAGGGTTTTAAGTGGGCAGTGCGGAGTCTATGGTGGGCTTTGCAGCCTTAGACCCTGCAGAGCTCACCAGAAATCCTTCACAGCACACCTGAGATCCCGCAGAGCCCACCACAGATCCTGCAGAGCCCACCACAGATCCTGCAGAGCCCACCATAGACCCTGCAGAGCCCACCATAGACCCCGTAGAGCTCACCACAGATCTTGCACAGCCCTCCTGAGACACTGTGCAGCCCACCACAGATCCTGCACAGCCCACCTGAGACCCCAGCTTTCCTGCTACACTAATAGCAGAACATGTCAAATGTTGGATACAGCTTGTACGCTGTATCCAGCGACTGACCGGATACACAAAAAGTCTTAAACAGGAAGGGGTGGGGCAAATTAAGTGGGGAGGCAGCCTGAGTTTCGTCTTGCCTAGGGCAGCCCCAAACCAGAATACACCACTGTGTCGAGGAGTAACTTGAGCTGCTCAAATTCAATCAAGAATAACAGTTTAAAGTGATCTATCTCTGGGCAAATATCCACCCCATCCCCCACCCATTTCTAACCCATCCTCCTTGTTTTTTCTTTTACCTGGTGAAGCAAGACATCCCTACCCAAGTCTTTCACCAGCGCCTTTTTTTTACAGGTGCAGGGGACCACAAGTCCAGCACTGCCAGTCCCCCAGTCATCGCTGCAGTGAAGTGGACACCCAAAAAAGAACTATAAACTAAAAGAACTATAAAC